CTTATCGCGACTGTACCGCAAGTTAGTGATCCTGGATCATGTCAATCTTATTGTTGCTTCTCGAGCAGCTCTAGTTGAGACTGTATTGCAAGATTCAACCACACTTTTATGGATCCTGTAGTCACGACCTCATCTCAGGCTTCTCATACGTCTCAAATTGAGACTACTGATAGATTAGGTCACACTAAGATCTATACGATGCAATCCCATCATTGGCCCTACACGCTTGTTGTTGGGCCTGCACGTCGTGATCCTACCACTTGACCCCCGCTAGCTCCAAACCGCGACTATATAGCGGTTATGTACACCACAATTCGCGATCCAACCACTTGCAACCCCATTAGCTCCAAATAGTGATTGCATTACGCTTTTGTATGTCACAATAAAAACCTTGCTAGCTCTAAATCACAATTTGTACGTCACAATCCTTGTGTTAGGAATCCCTCTAGCTTCAAATCGTGACTGTATGGTGATGACGCATTGGATCGGGTCATTATGCATGTCAGGATCCTTCTTGTAACCTCCTCTAAAAGGAAACTCAAGCCCTTGGATTGCTATAAGGACATGTGATCTTCTTCTTTTATTTGTTTCCCAAAATAAAATGCTTTGATTCCAATTTGATACGATCCGACATTAAAATCGACATGTTTTTTCATAAGAATTACAGCAAACACAAATTTAATTTCCTGAACACCAAATCTAAGCAATCAAACACATAATCGATAAACATCAGTAATTTGAAAGATAGGTGATCTCTCCCAATTCCTACAATTTGAGAGGTAGGAAATGAAGAAAACTGCTGGAACGTGTAGAGGAATATTCCCTGGAGGTTGAAGAAAGGGAATCAGATTTCCTTGGATTTTTCCTTTCTTGGAGAAAGACATTCAATTCCTTTGCTTGAGGCTGAAGACAGTAAGATTTTCTTTATTTGGTTTTTTTGGCTGGAAGTGAATATTCCTCTGCTGCAACGATGACAAGTGGTACTCGGCCAGCGGAGTTCGCAAGTTTGTAGCAGGAGTTGCGGCAGGTGCAGTTGCGACAGGTGGTGCTTGGCCAGCGGAGATCGCAAGTTTGTCGCAGGAGTTGCGACAATTGCAGTTACGATAGGTGACGCTCGAGCAGCGGAGTTCGCAAGTTTATTGCAGGAGTTGCGACAGGTGGTGCTCGGCCAGCGGAGTTCGCAAGTTTGTCGCAGGAGTTGCGGTAGGTGCAGTTGCGACAGATAGTGTTCGCCAGCGGAGTTAGCAAGTTTGTCGCAGGAGAAGTTGCGACAGGTGGTGCTCGACCAGAGGAGTTCGCAAGTTTGTCACAGAAGAAATTGCGACAGGTGGAGCTCGCGAGGTTGGGGAGAGCGAGGGCGTGTTTGTAAATTTATCTGTGGATTTTATCTATAAATAGATGTGTAATCCTATGTGTATGTAACTCCTCTGAAATAGTGAATTCACCGCTCTGCTCCCAAAGATGTAGACATCTTTGCTGAACCTCGTTAAATCTCTGTGTTCTTCTTCTGGTTGTGTTGATTCCTGTGTTTTCTTCGCCCTAAATTTCACAACAGGAAATCTCTCCCAAACTCTGAACCTAAGACTCAAGACAATAATCTCATGCATATGCCTAACCGTAATATAATAAACTTATTTATACCCTCAATAATAATAATAAATTACTAAATTGCCCTTAGTTATACAAAAGAAAAAATTGCCCTTAGGCTAGGCACCAATGTAGCAAAATCATTATCAAATAAGTCTAGAATGTATCTCATAGTTGATTTAAGCAAGATTAGTGCTTCTTTTTCGGAAAATTTGAGTCAAAATAGCAAGATATATAATTCAAATGTTCGGACCTCACAAGGGAAAACAATATCCCCAACCACTATGCCTCAGGTAAGTGTGTGAAAGGCTAGTGCTTCGCTTAGCATATATTTGAAACTTATGCAACATGTGGGGGTCAAAGTTTACCAAGAAACATCGATCAATCAACCAATATTTTTGTGCCATCAAAATTATTAAACTAATCAGTCAAGCTTGAGAATTAACTCAATTTTCAATATGATATGTTTGAAATTCTCATATATATATA